CTTTCCAAGTCTCTCACAGGTATTGGCTCCCACCATGAACTCACTTGGGACTTTGCCAGGTAAAATACTGGGCCTTCCCCTAACAAGACCCAATATTGCCAAGGTAAATCTGACCCATCCAGCCCCCTAATGCCTCCAAAGCTTACATGGGTCAAGCCCACTAGGAAAAATTCCTAAAGAGCTTTGTGTTAAAATAACTCTGTCAACTGATCTAACATTTCATACTCAGTTTTTGCCCTTTCCTAGAACTTATTTTGTTTGTGGAACCACAGCCTATGCTTGTCTGCCTCCTGATGGGAGAGGAATCTGCACTCTAGCTCTTCTAATACCACAAATCAATATTTTCCCTAACAACCAATCTCTCCCTATTCCTCTAGCAGCCTACACTTAATCAAAGAGGACCATTCAAATCATTCCCCTATTAGTAGCCATAGGGATCACTGCTGGAATAGGTGCTGGCATCGGGGGCATTGCCTTGTCAGTCCATAATTAAAAATTATCAAAAAAAACCTTCTGATGACATAAAACAAGTTACACAGTCCTTAGAGGCTTCACAAGACCAAGTAGATGCACTTGCATCAGTAGTGCTCCAAAATAGGCACCTCACCTATTAATTGCTGAAAAGGGCAGAACATGCCTCTTCCTAGACTGAGAGTGTTGCTTTTATACTAACAAATCTGGGGTGGTCAGAGACATGGCCCAACAATTAAGAGAGCACATTACAAAGAGGAGACAAAAATTAGCCAATTCATGGTCCTTCTAGGACAACATGTGGAGCTGGGCTCCCTGAGTATTACCTCTAGCTGGTCCCCTCTTTGTGCTTCTTCTGGCACTCCAGTTTGGGCCTTGTATACTAAATGTTCTTTCCAAGTTTATATCTAGACAGGTGCAAAAGATAAAATTCCAGCTCTTAGTTAAGGAATACTCACCTCTGCCAATGCATGACCCCTCTGTCCAGTTCTATTGCAGTCCCCTGGAGACCACATGGGTCAATTGCTGAGACAAGTGCCCCTGCACCTCCCCTCCCCACTCTGGCCCACTGTCAGCAGGAAGTATCCAGATAAAACATCACCCCTTTTCCCCAACAGCAGTTGGGTGCTAGTCTCAGGGGGGACTTGTTAGGTCTGGGGGATCAGAAGACAAAAATGAGCCATTGCCCCCATCACCCATGAGAGCACTGTGAGCCCTATGTCCTGTAAAGGAACATGCGGCCTCACAAGTCATGGCCCCCTGGGGATGCCTCAAAATGCCACAAGGCCGATAAACAGGAGGCTTTCACAGGACTGTGCATATGTTCCTACAGAGATGTGTTAAAGGCCACTCTACCTCTAGCTCCTGACTCCCCTCCCCAACAAAAAGGGCCAAATAAAAATACCCTGTATGTAAACAACAGGAAGCTACTGATTTTCTGGGCTCTCTGTCCATCTCTAGGGGCAGCTTTTCCTTTCTCTCTGATAAATCCTACTTTGTGTGCTGACCTTGTTGTCTCATGAGTCAATCCACTGCCTCACGAGCCAAATCTTTGGCCATGAAGGCAAGAACTCTCGACACCAGCCCACAACAAACTCAGGGCTTCACGCTTGCTAGGCAGGTGCTTTACCAGTGGGGCAACTCCACCAGCCCTTTGTTGTATTGGGTATTTTTGAGATAGGGGATCCAGAACTATTTTCCTGGGCTGGCTTTGAACTGTGATCCTCCTGATCTCTGCCTCCTGAGTAGCTGGGATTACAGACATGAGCCACTGCCACTGGCTTTCCCTCACTTTTAATAAACTTTACTGCATTTCTGAGTCATGCTTGGATTCTTTCCACATGGGACATAAATGACTAGGCATCTTCTGAACAGAGTTTTCCAGAGACTACCTGTCCAGTTATAGTCCTGTACTTTGGATGAGAACTAGCTTTGAAGTTAGAACTGATTTGGCTCCTTCACTAATTTATTCTGTGATTATATTACATAACCTTTCTGAATCATAGTCTCCTTGACTATAAAAAAGATATTGAGGCAGGATAGATCAATGAGGAGACAGGGAAATTATATTATTTTTAATAAATAGTAAAAGGGCCAGACTCAGATATTGGAACCCAGGAAGTAAAAACTGGAAAAAACTAGAGCAGCTAGCTAATTTCCACTACCTCCTTTTAAATGTTAAGTTACAAGAACAGGGAGACATAAAGGAGCTCTCTACATCTATCTTCTCCTTTGAGATGTTAAGAAGCGGCAGTGTTCCTTAAATGGGCAGAAAGAAAGAAAGAACGAAAGGCATACCTGACAAAGGAAATTCTAAAATTTACAGAATTGTCCCTGAGTTTTGGGTAGGCCTAGCTCACAGCTCCATGTTTTAAAAAAATAATAAATAGCACCCATTTGGGGCAACCATATCATATTTCCTAATGATTAGGGGTTGCCAGATGACATTGATAGGTAGCATGTAGACATAAGCAGTGGCCACAAGAAGAAGACAGGAAGAAAAAAAAATCATTGTAATTTAACTTCCCAACTCCACTAATCTCTATGACCAGGCAGCCAGAGCCCAGGGCCTATCACAGGATGCTTTGAAGTTAGCCACTACCCTAAAGCTCAATTCAGTCTTTACCCAAGAGTAATCCACCTCCTCAACATCAAGACATAAGAGCTAGATAAGGCAAAGGTTAGGAATTTCAAACAAATTCTCTATCAGTTAAATCAGGAACTAGTAAATTACTCAATGTCTTTCTTAAGAAGACAATGACCCAAATCCAGGAAATCATCCCAGGAGCCAACATGACCCAAAACTAATAGTTTCTCAATAAATATTTCAACCTTAAAACCTGACCCATTGCTCTCACTCTTGAGACAACCTGCTTTCAGTCTGTTGAAAGCATATTTCTTTCCTAATAAACTATTGTTATTTACTGAATCTTCGTGTCTTGCTTGATTTCTTCTCCTGCTGGACACAAGAATCAAGGTAAAGTTTCAGGACCATTTTTCTTGTAATAACATAAGCATGTGAATTCCCTCCTCCACTCAGAAAGTGTAAAAACTACAGAGAAGAACCATCATTTTGAGTCTTTACTCCCATTTCCTGCGTGGGGACGAGGAATCCTACAATACTAAAATAAATTGATTAAAACTTTCACCTTGTGAAACTCCTTTTTGTTTGTGAGACACCTGGAAATTCTTTTCATGTTTGTGGATCTCAAGCACCTGCGATTTTGAGTGGAAACTGAGGGAACCCCCTCATCCAGTGACAGTATAATGATAATAATACCTTTTTGTGTGGTCATTATGAGAATTAAGTGACATTTCTATATAAAGCAACACAGAGGAGTTGCTGGTACCACCAGTCACATTGCCCCTGAGTTTATAAGGATGTGCTGGTACCATGTACAACTCACAACTACCCAAATCTTTGTACTAGGCATTTTTCTGCCTCCTTCCCCTGGGCAAAAATTGTTTCCCAGACACAGCTACTGTTAATGGCAATGGTGCAGTCTGAGATCAGAAGATTTTCAAATTCTTTGTTTCCCACATGGAAGAATCCATGGCAGGACGCATGGGTGTAAATAGAGTTTATTAAAAGTTAGGGGAGGGAATTACAAGAGGGAGCATGGTGGGCCCAGGTGGAAACTGGAAGCAGAGAACATGTATTTCTCTTTTTCAGGTGCTTTTAAAACTTATGCTAACCTATGGGAAGGAAAGAACTTAGTGATTCCCAACCAATAATCAATGAGTGGGGAGGGGCACAGGTGGTCCCTGGGCCAAGTGAAGGTGGTTGAGTTGTTCTTGAGCTATGGTGTGAGTAACTTTCACACATTTGCAATTGAATAGAAGGTTCAGAGAAAGAGAGGAACGTAAGATCTGAAATACAATATTGTCATATGTTTTCTATGAGTCCTGAACTTTCCCTAATTCTAGCCTGCCTCACTATCATTTGCACTGTCAAAAGCAGCAACTGTTAGTGCTTTTGGACTTGAAAGATGCTAAGGAGTGACAGTGACATTTCAAAGTCCAGAATCTGAGGGGTAAACACTGTGTTAGAATGATTAGACATAGTTTGGCTGAGCTGACAGATAGCTAGCTGTTGTGGATTTGGGGAGCTATGGTTGGCAAAAGAATTTTAGGAGGAAGCAAAGATTTATTGAAATGCCATTGGAAGGGAACAGAACGGCAGGCGGCTATGCTAGGGAGCACAGAGCACTGAAACAGTTGGGACACTTTTGATTGTCTGTCTCTCTTTTTTTTGTGGACTTTATTGATTGGTTGTCTCTTCCTAGGATCATGGTTTGATTTTTCACTTCTGGGAACATCTCCTGGGTTGGCCCCTCCTTCCTTACTATACCTGGCTCTAGGTATTTTGTACCTGTCATGGCTCCATAAATGGGGCACATTCCTCCACACTCACCTGTGCAAGCATGTACAGATTTAATTAAAGTCATAAAATGAAGAGCATTGCAAGACACAGGATGGCAAGACACTGAATTTTATTAAAATGATCCTGATATTACTGATACACGTTTTCGAAAAAGCCAATTCATAGAAGATCAATTTACTTTCAAACCTTATTTTATAACTATTTACAAGATTTTTATTTCTGCAGATAGGTGTATGTTTTTCCTCTTATCATCAAAGGGACACAAAAGAAATTATGTTTACATTAAATTATGTTTCCTAAGTGAAAATGGTAAGCCAAATTACTATGCAATGCTTAAGCATGACCATAACAATCAGAAATCCTTTCTGCTGTGCCTGTGATTTAAAATATGTGGATTTTTGAAATTAGGAGGGAATTATATGAAAATAAGATGGGCTGCACGGAGCTTTGATATGACACAAACTCATCTTTAGAGACATTTGGAATACTAACCTGGCCCCTAGGCAGAGAGGACTACTTGGCCAATAACTCCCATGGGGCAAGGAGAAGGATGCACAGGCAAATCCCCTCCCAGGGGCCCTGGGGATCTGAATTGATGTCTAGCAGAGACCTCCGTGCTTTGCATGCTCTGTAGTAGATGAAGCTCTCAGCCCACATTGGCCCGCTTCTCAGACTCATCTGGATTGTTCCGCAGCTTCAACTTGGTTTCCAGCCTCTGCTTCCATTCTTCTCTAAGCCTGAAATAGCATCAACACATGTTTCAACAGTGAATTAAAAAAAGACAAGAAATCAAGCTTACAGAGTTTAGATTGCTGCTGTTTCCTGTGATGACTTTAGCCTTTAATCTCTTGTGTGTCCTGTTAACTGGTAGGTGGACTACAGGCTTGATTAGAGATCAGTTCTTTTTCTTTTCTTTCCTTGACAGTGATATGGTGTACTACCTTCATATCTGTCTTGTCGCATCTCTTTTTCTGGTACATTTTATTTATTTATTTGGACAATAGTTGGATTTTGAACTCAGGGCTTCTCCCTTGCTAGGCTAGGCAGGGATTCTACCACTTGAGTCATGCCCCCAGACATCTTTTTTGATATTAGGTGATAATCACTGATTAGATCTGATTTACTTTCATTTGATGTTGCCAAATTCCAATAGTTTACTTCTATTGATCCTGATGCAGGCTAGAAGTAGAAAACATTTGGGGCTCATGTAGTTGGCTTGGGGATGGCACAGATCACCCTCATCTGGCTGGGAACTGCCCATGCCCCTCTCCACTCATTCATTATTGGGTGGCAACCTCCTGGGCATGCACTCCCATGGGGTAGTGTAGGTTTTAAAGGCAGCTGAAAAAGAAAAGCATGCTCTCTCTGCTGGTGGACTCCACCTGTGCCCACTGTGCCCTCTGCCTTTTCTTCCCTTTCCTCACTTGGCAGAACAGGTGACTCCCCTTTTCTCAATAAAGCTATGCTACCTCACCCCATCCACATGCTCTGCTTGGATTTCTCCATTTGGAGCACAAAAACCAGGATCTTCTGATCACAGACTGCACCAGCGCCACTAACATTTGGCGAGCCAGCCAGGAGAAACTGACTGGTGAGATCCCAATATGCTATCTCTGCCAATCTTTATTGTAATCCATCTTTCTCTGTCCTCTGGTACCACACCTCACCACCTGATGCTTTAGAACCAAATAAAACTCACAGCTTGGGTGGAATGGGACTCTCACCCTGGGGCACTCACCCAATGCTTGGGACTTGTTTGGAGGCCCAGTGTGAACCGAATCCTGATTGTCAGTATGCAGCATTTGCCAGGAGGGCTCACAAGCTTCCAACAGCACCCCAGGGCACAGGGTTCATGTTTGGGTATCCTCACCCTGTGTGGGGGGATGGACAACCTTTCCCTGCCTTACCTTCCCTAACCCTCAATCTGCTCCCCCAGCCCTTTCCTTCACTGAGCCCTGGGACACCTAACTCCCAGGTCCCTAATTCTCCCATGTGGTTAGGAATGCCTCGGGCTCGGTTTCTTGACCCTTCCCCTCTTGCTTCCTTTCCTTTTCTCTCCTCTAACCAGTGGTTTTGGAGGGTAAATGGAGCTGCTACCACCTGGGCTACTGGAACCCGAGCCGCCAGCTTCTCTACCAGCTACAGTTGCAGGGGATGGGCCTCAGTAGGCTGTAGCTCAGTCCCAGCCTGAGACTAAGAGTTCCAGTCTGGATATCTGGTAGCTGCTTCCAAGGCTGATGGCCACCTGGATGGCGGTGGCTGGGGCACATGGACTATGTGACACCAAAAGAGGCATGGCACAATGTTAAAGTCATCCCCCCTCATGACTGCCACCCTGTGCCCCAAGCCAGGACCACTTTTTCCCATGGCTGCCATGGGTCCATAGCACTTTCCCTCCTTTCAACTGCTCCCTTCCCTGTATTTTGGGCAGATTCCTCCACTGTTCCTCCCCCATCCTTCCTTCTTTTTCTCCCAAAATGGCAGTTTTTAAAAAGGCAAATGGGAGACACACCTTGGCCAGCCAGGTCTAGTGACAGGTTTTGTTAAGGAAAAAGCCTGGGGATGGGTGGGCACACATGGCTTCCTTGGACCCCATTGGGATGGAAAAAATGCAGTGTGACACAGGCCACAGGGCTTCCTGGCCGCCCACTAGAGGAAAACCACACCCATGGCTTGTTATGATGCCTGTGCAAGATTATCCAGCTGGCCACTTGGGACAGTCATGCCCATGGTGCATGACCTCCACGCACAGTTTCCCAAATGGATGGTCCAGAAAGTCGCATGGATAGCACCCATGTTTTTCTCAAACCTGGCCCTTAGGGTGATCTGGAAGTCCTGCCTCCAGAAGTCATGCCTCTGGAGGGCTGGAGCAGGCCTCTGGCAGCTCAGGACCCCCAAAATGCCTACCCCACTGGCATGGCACCATTCGGCAGGGCCTCAGGGCCTGTGGCCATGGGGTGCTATCCTCCAATCCCTCCCCTCAGTCCTACCTGTGGCACAGGCCCCACCCCACTTCTCAGTGTAGGCTGGGAGCCCTGAATAGCCAGCCATAGAGCACAGCAGTAAAGCACAGCAACGTGCATGTACTCAGGGCGCTGCAGGCGCTGACAGCTTCTGTCCGGCAGCCTCCGGCTGAAGGACTCCCAATGCCTGAGTTGGTTGAGGAAAAAACTCAAAGCCACTTCAGCTCCAGCGTTAATGGGGAGTCCAAGGGAGCTCAAGGGTACTGGGAACGAGGTGGATGAGATGCCACCTGGTGACCAAGGTCCCATGCCTAACCAAACCGCCTTCTCCCTATCTGCAACCTTCTGTTTTCTTTCTCTGGCCCACTCTCTTACCCACCTACCTGCCATGCCTGTCTACCCTACACAGTCTATCTAAATTCTCACTCATGCTCACCTAACCCCCATAGCCTACAGGGGTCACAGAAACACTGACACTGAGGTCACACTCCCTTGTCCCAGGGCTAACGAGAACTTGTCTGCCTATCTTAGCCAGAGATTCTAAATTCCATTCAAAGGTGAAATCTAAATTAACATACAGGTTGCATCTGTGTAGCTGTGGTGTTAATTGTTGCTGTGCTTAAATGCTAAATGCATTTAAATTCTCTAAAGAATGTTTTCTAAAATTAAAAAAAGGATTTAACATTGGTCACCCATAAAGTATATCTATAATAAGAAAAAACACTGTAACTTATTTAAAGTTCATTTACTCTAAAGGCAAAATTAAAGAAATTTATTAATTCAATGTCATCTTTTTACAACAAACTATAGTGCTAATTAATGCTGTCGATCATAATTATTATTCTAAAATTCGATATACAATAGACCTTTAAAACTATTCTAACCTTAACTGTTCTCTGCTGATAAAATTAGGCTTGCAGCCAAGAGGTTAAAGAAAATGGGTTTTTGTATGTGAACATTTTAAATAGACAATTTAATATTTTTTTCTAAGTCTTTTAATGTATCAGGTTACTAAGAGTCTTATATAAAACAACTATCTAAATGTTTTTTTTTTACAAAGGTTATTTCAAGATACAAATCAAAGTCTTAAAGCTTATAAGTTTCTAACTTAATGTTTGCCTACAAACTTTTCCAAAGTCAAAATTTAAGGTACTAATGTGTATTTAAAAATCGGTTTCTGTTTTATCAAAATAACTATCAAGATCTTTTGCTACTGTAGGCTAATACAAAATTTTACCTAAACCAAACAACAGCTTACCCTCCAGATATAGTAAAATGTTTAACCCCTTATCTCTGTTTCTGTATCTAATTATTTGAGACATTAATCTTAATTGGTTTATTATTAAGAATTGTATATGTTCTCCCATTTTTCTCAGTTTACAAGCTGACTACAACCCTGTGGCTTAATATGAAAACTAACCACAAGTGATGGGTTTGTATCAGCCAAGCTTACTTTGGTACAATTTGGATTCTGTATTGGTCATAATAGCTCCGAAGTTTTAATAGTTGGGTCAACATTCAGGATCAACATCCCACCAAAGAACCCCATGCTGGGGTGGATGAGGCTGGCCTTAGGGGAATGGTTGACTCGAAGTCAGGGGACCCTGCTGCTCACTCTCTACAGATATGTGATGGAATCCAGATCAGAGGGACTGGTTTTGAGGCTTATTAGGGAAACATGCGTGGGGGCGCGGGTGGGGGGTGGAAGAAGTAAGGGAGGGGTGATCCAAGGACCTAGAAGTTCTGTTTCTCTCTCCTAAGGGCAACTATCTAGCCACTTCCCCTTTCCTCTCTTTCACTCTCCACCAACGAATTTAGGGAATTCCATTCTGGAGCCCTCATGCAGCGGTGCAGGAGTTGGAGGGGAGAATGGATTTTCCCCTTCCCTTTCCCTCTCCCTCTTTCCACCAGCCAGCTAGGGAAAGTCAACATATTCATTTGGCTGTGTCCTCAAGTGTTGGGAGATGCTTTGATCCTGCTGACTAAAATAAGATGCCTAGTTCTCTTCATAGCCCATTTAAAATCATTTACTATTCTTTACTTCCTGCTTAAATGAGTCGCACACCAGACACAAAAACCTAAGGTATTTTTCTAATAACACTAAAGAAACTAAGTTTAAACTAAGTAAAATTCCTTAAGTGGTTCTAATACTCTTAGTGCCTTATACGTGTATCTAAATGTCATAAAATCGTTTATAGAGTTAGACGTGTATACATGTTATCAGCTATAGTTCTTTTATCTAAAGTACCTTCTATCTAATAAGGTCTTTGACATTTCTGCTCTTTACAACAAATGCTAACAGTTCTGCTATTTAGGCCTGACATCTGTTTGTCTGCTAAGCATTGGTTTATCTGATATCTGTTTTTATTAAACACTGGTTTATCTGACATTGGCTAGATAAGCATTGTTTTATGTATAATGTACAATTGAACATCAAAACAGAGGCTATTTAAAATTATTGATATTGCCCTCCTTTAACCATTGGAAAATTTAGGATTTTAAATTGTTAGTACTGTATTGACAGTACTGACAACCACCAACTTGTTACTTTACCTAACCAAAATTCAAGGCTTAAATTACAATTACCATGGTTACTTTGAGTTTTATCATTACAGTTCCGATCCTTCAAAGACATTCACAGGCAAGCCCATAAAAAAGTGACTCTGACTAGCACTGATCCATCAACCAGGACAGACACTCTTAAGTATTGGGGTTGTTTTGTATTTTCCTTGTAAAACTTTGTAACTGTTACCTGCTAACACTTTACAACAATTCGGAGGTACCAGTACATCCCCTAATGGACAAGCAATTAGATTAATTAAACCCAGCCTAAGAGCCTTTTTAAAAAAAATAATAAATCTCTTTGTTGCTTAATTTGGCCAAAAAGGTCACTTTGGCACTGACTTCCGATCTGTTCATTTTCCCCTCCTCCATGGGACAAAATCTGACTTTCTGGACTTTCCGGGAAAAGCCATTCCCACGATGGACAAAACTGCCAAATTGGCACAATCTTCAGAGTCAACTGTTCAGAGAAACAGTTTAAGAGGACATAATACACGAGCGGTCAGTGACCCCAACCTCTCAGAGGAACAAGTGGCGTTCAGCCACAGTTCAAAAGGATTGCACAAATGAAGGGATTTCTCCAGATCCAGAAGGAGTCAATTATGCCAAACCTCTAAAAGTAACCAAAGCCGAGAGATTTTTAAAAGGGGGGGCTCTTACACATGTGCTCTAATATTTAAGCCTTCTAGGCTTCGGCAAAAGACAAACTCATGTCTTTGGCCAAAGCCTTCTATTTAAACACAGGCGATATAACTTCTGCTTAGGGACGCTGTGAGTTTTCTCTCTGTACAGAACTGACTTATTTGATGTTTACTCTCTAATCAGACTAACACCTGGTCCCTGGTACACCTGGCCCCTAATGTAGTCAGACTTTAATTACAGTCCAAAAAACAGGGCCATCTGAGAGTTAAAAATATCTACATGTATAAACACCTATAGGTAAATTAACCATAAGACTCCCTGTCACTTTTCAAAATTACTTTGTCCTTCCTGCCACACCTGGAAGGGCCCCTTCTGATGCTCTTATCAGTGTTAAATGTTCAGGTCATGCCTTCTAAATCAGATTTATCTCTTCCAGAATAAAAGCCTTTAGAACCCAAATCATGAAGCAACAACGCTATCGAGCTCTACAAATGAATGAGGTCTCCATGAACAACCCAGATCTCCATGAGGAAACTTAACTATGCTGGGCAATAATTCAGACACCCTGTGTCCAAATGAGCCCCCAGGGAAAGAAATATGAGAGACAACTTCCCTTTATAGGTAGAGTCTGCTGCCCCTTGTCAGCTTGAAGCAGATACTAAAGGTGGACCATCCCCCTTCAACAACCCTCCAAAAGAACTGTTTTTGAATATTGTCTCTCAGGGGAAGCTTGAAGCAGGCTAGAAGTAGAAAGTCTGGGGTTCATGTAGGTTGCCTGGGGATGGCCCAGATCACCCTCACCTGGTCAGGAACCACCCATGCCCCTCCCCACTCATTCATTATTGGGTGGGAACCTCCTGGGCCTGCTCTCCCATGGGGTAGTGTAGGTTTTAAAGGCACCTGAAAAAGAAAAGCACCCTTTCTGCCGGTGGACTCTACCTGTGCCCACTGTGCCCTCTGTTCCTTCTTCCCTTTCCTCACCTGGCAGAACAGGTGACTCCCCTTTTCTCAATAAAGCTATGCTACCTCACCCCATCCACGTGCTCTGCTTGGATGTTTTTCCATTTGGAGCACAAAAACCAGGATCTGCTGATCACAGACTGCACCAGCGTGTTAACAATCCTTTTTCACTTACATTCTGGACCTGGAACAGGGAGAGTCCCCTCCCTCTCCACCCAGCAGGAGCTGTTCTCAGAAGGATGAAGCCACTGCTAGAAAACAGGGTCCAGAGCAGAAAGGATGTGAGGAGGAAATCTCTGACTTCCCCTCCAGTACTCTCACCTCCTGTTGACAGAACCAAGGGCCAGAGAACAAAGGACAAGGTAACCCCAGCATCAGCATAGGGGAGGGGCCAGCTGAGGGAGGAGAATGAAGGCGGTGGGGCCAAAGGAGACAGCCTGGCCTCCAAACCTGCAGGCAAGAGTCCTGACTTAGAGTAAGCCGGCAGCAAAGAGATAATTCTGTGGTTTTCCTGAATTCAGTCAATTGAGGGTTTCTTGAGAGCCTACTGTAAGTTCAGTGCTGCAGAGGGACTTTACAAAATGCAGACAAATTTTTAAATGACTGTTTCTCTGTTCCATAAATGAGGCAAATTCTTTTGCTACCATTTACACATGCTATGTTTCCTGCCTTGAATCCTCTTCTTCATTCTTCTCCCTTGGCCTTTGCTCTCTCTTTGAACGATGTCAAGGAGAGAGCTGGTGCAGTGCTACACACCTGTGGAGCTGGACCTCAGAGCCTGGGCTGGCAGCTCCAGCCTGTCAACTGGTCTCTATGCTGGCTCCATAAGTAGCTGCACCCCAGGGGATAAGGAACCAGCTCTGAAGTTGGGACCCCATGGGACTGCAGAAGAGAGCCCTCAGATTCTCCTGCAGTGGGAGATGACGGCATCTGTGTTGGCTCTGGGGCTAACTCCAATATACTGGATGTTTGTGCATGCTGAGATGCTTCATGTACTAACGAAGGAAAAAGATCAGCTGGGTGATATGGCTCAAGCCTGTAATCCTTGCTAATTAGAAGGTGGAGATTGGGATTGCAGTTTGAGGCCAGTTTAGGCAAAAAGTTCATGAGACCCCATCTCAACCAATGGTGGCGGAGTGGTATGTGCCTGCCATCTTAGCTACAAATAGGATCTGCCGGGAAAGCACAAATAGGATCACAGTCCTGGGAATAAATTGACCCCTATCTCAAAATACCCAACAAAAAGAGGGCTGGGGGTGTGGCTCAAGTGGTAGAGCACCTGCCTAGCAAGCATGAGGCCCTGAATTCAAACCCCAGTACCACCAAAAAGGAAAAGAAGAAAGAAAAAGGATCTAGGGACACACTGCTCTACATTAATGAAAAGCAGCAAGTCCATCATCCATCCTACTTCTGTCAGTGGTCTGTTTCTCTATGAAAAACAGCAACGAAGAACGTGAGACACAGGGAGATTTGTTAGCTCCTCCTAGCCTCATGATCAGGGATAATCTTGTTCATTTTGGGAAGGGCCAACTTAGAATGGAGATTGACACTGGTGTCCCCTGGGGCCAGCTATCAGGTTCAAATCAGAGGAGCGGAGGAAGAAACACAAGCTAAAGTCTTTTGGTTCTGCATCTTCCTAGCTCTCTTCAGCCCGTTTCACTCCACATTGAGGCCTTTTACGCCTGTCCTCACTTGGGGAGTACAGGACTCATTGGGGCCTCTGTGCACAGTGTGCTAAGTGGCCTGACCATTTCTGCAAGGCCAGAAATGACTGAGCATGGACACAGCTTCTCTGGAAATCTCCAGGCGAGATAGATACCTGAACTACACGAGCGCAGGCAGGAAAAGACCGGGAATAAGGCTGGGCAGGTCTCTATGAGGAACAGAATGGGTCCCCACTAGGGCTTGGGTGGGAGTGGTGGAACGCAACGGTGAGTTTAACACAGGCATGTTCCCAACCCAGCAATAATGTCACAGGCCCTGCCATCTGGCCAGCACACACTGCCCCAGGGCATCCTTACCATCCTAAGATGAGGCTTCAGGGGACAGAGGACCCAGTCCCTTCCTGTAGCCCGTGGGGTGATCCATAGCTGGTGTTATTTCAGTGTAACTGTGACCTTTGCCTGCACATCAAAGGGGGGAGACCCCCCCCATCAGACTTCCCCCAGTAACCAAGCAGGGCATTCTGTGTGACTGACCATTGTGACCTGTGAGGCAGGGTTTTACCGCTTGAGCCACACCTCCAGCCCTTTTTGCTCTGATTATTTTGGTACTAGGGTCTTGCTTTTTGCCCAGGCTGGCCTGGACACTGGTCTTCCTATTTTAAGCTCTCCCCCTTTGCTGAGATGACCACTGCCCAGTTATTGGTTGAGATGGGGTCTAGCTGAACTTCCTGCCTGGCCTGGCTTTGAATGGCAATCCTCCTCATCTCAGCCTCCCAAGTAGCTAGAATGACAGGTGTAAGCCACCTGCGCCCAGCTGCTCCTGCTCAACTTGGCCCTGAACTTAAAACTGATCTAAAAACAAAGCCTATTTTAAAATGAATGAATTAGAAAGCCCATACTTCCTCAGTGCACTTCGGCCCAGACGATGCTCCTCGGACTCCCGGTAGCACGTCTGCTTGCCGATCTCTCTTTCCCAGAAGCGTTTGAGCTCGTGGCAGGTGTTCCGGCAGAAGACCTCCCGGCGGGCGTACTGATTGTTCATCCCCTGAAAAATAAAAGGACAGCTGAGCCCTTGTAAGAGACTCTCAGAATCCAGAAACTCATTTCTGTGAGGGAGACCCTGGCAGGGCCTCTGTGAGTGGAACGACAAAAGCCACCTCACTGCTGAAAGGTGCTCCTTGTCAGGATATAGAGAGATGTGCACCTTGATCCACTCAGCCTTCCCAAGAGACAGGCCTTGCCTTCCCCACTTTGCAGGTGAGTCATTTGAGGAGTCACAGAAACTGCCTGTAGTCTCAACGCTTAAAAGTCATCAAGCCCTTTACTAAAGGGGTTTTACAGAAAGTGGTCATGTGTGATACACTCAGAGCAAGCTGCTTGCACATAAGTGGGCATGTGTGTGTGGAATTACACATGTTAGATAATGATAATGCTCCTTTTTACATGACGAAACTTTGCCCACTTGGGCATGGTGGCTTGCGCCTGTCAGCTCAGTTACTCGGGTAGTATAAAAAGGAGAATTGTGATCCAGACTGGTCTGGGTATAAAAGTGAGACCCTATTTCGAAAAATAACCAAAGCAGGCTGGTAGCTCATGCCTGTAATCCTAGCTACTCAGGAGGTAGAGATCAGGAGGATGGTGGTTCAAAGCTAGTCTGGGCAGTTAGTTTGAAAGACCCTATCTCGAAAATACCCAACGCAAAACAGGGCTGGAGGAATGGTTCAAGTGGTAGAGTGCCTGCCTAGCCAGCATGGGGCCCTGAGTTCAAACCCCAGTATTGCCACCAAAAAAAAAAAAAAAAAAGGCAGCATTGCTCAAGTGGCAAGTGCAAAGCCCTGAGTTCAAGTCCCAGTACCACCAATAATGATGATGACAATAAATAAACTGCCCAACTCCCAGAGCTCAGTGTGTCCCAGAGCTCAAAGGGATGGAAGATATTCTGTCAGCTGATGGAGACCCCTGCATAGGAGCATGGGAGGTGAGAGCCTGGCTCACTCCAGATTGGGTTTGCTCTTATCCAAAGGGCAACAGGAAGAACTTTCCATGTGTGGGGTGCAGGGTCCAGACCCTCATTGCACCAGTGTTCTGGGGATTAGACTAGAAAGGTGGGAGTGGGTGCAGGAGAGGAGTTACCAGATTGTGGAGAAGCCTGGGATCAGCTGTGGCCAGGGAGGAGGGGCAGGGATGCTGCAGAGGTGGATGGACTCAGCTCCTGGTGGTGAATGAAAGGGGAGGGACGTCAGTGTTCAGGCTGCGCCCAGATACGGTGGGAGAAGCAAGAGGGGGCTGCTGTGCAGATGGCGTTGGGGTTGGGTTGTCTGGCTGCGGACATCCAAGGGGAAGGGCGAGAGGGACACTGAGACGTGAGGCTCCAGAACTCGGCATAAAGGTCTGGGCCACAGTTCCCTTGGAGAGAGTGACCAGGACAGTGGGGCAGGGAGGAAGGAGAGAGGGGCTTGAAGCCAGATGCTCACCACTGACCGGATATACTTCTGCTTGTTTCAGAAACTCTGGGCCCCACTTTTCTTATCTTTATATTTCTCTCTAATACAAGTTTGATCATAAATGTGAAATATTTTAAAATTTATAAAGTTCTCAATAAATATACAGGCTGACTATCTCTGATTCAAAATGCTTGGAACCAGAAGTGTTTTGCATTATGGATTTTTCTGAATATTTACATATGCACAAGATATTTTCCCAAGTCTAAACATGAAATTCATCTTTGTTTCATCTACACCTTAAACACATAGCCTGAAGGTAATTTTGTTTTGATGGTACTGAGATTTGAACTCAGGGTCTTGAACTTACACCACTCTACCCCTTGAACCATGCCTCCAGGTCCTGCCCCCTGCGGGTTTTTTTGTTTTGTTTTGTTTTAGTTTGTTTTTTCGGTAGGGTCTCACACATTTGTCCAGGCCACCTCAGAACATGATCCTATCTCTGCCTCCTGAGTAGCTGGGATTGTGGGGATGTACCACCACACTCAGCCCCAAAATAATTTTATTTTTTTCAGTGCTGGGGATTAAACTCTGCAGAGCCTTTCACATGGTGGGCAAGTGTTCTCTCACTTGAGCCTAGGATCCCAGCCCTTAATTTTAGACAATATTTTAAATAATTTTCTGCAGGAACTGAAGTTTCATGGTGTGGAATTTTCCACTTGTGACATCATATCGGTACTCAGAAAATTTTGGATTTTGGATTTCTTGAGACAGTCTCACTATGTTACCCAGCTCAGTCCAACTTCTGGACTCAAGTGATCCTCCTGCTTCAGCCTCCTGAGTGCTGAGACTGTAGGTACACACCACTGCACCCAGCCTGGATTTTGGATATTTGGGTTGCAGATACTCAACGTGTAATCTAAGGTCCTGGCCCTTAGATTTTCCCAGACTGTTTTCTAGTATGGGGAGACCATCAACCAAAGCTAATCGAATAGAATGTACACCGCACATTATTGTCAACTTTGTTTGTCTATACGTAGTACCAAATGCTTGGCCTCTTGGGGATGTGACTGAGATTCATTCATCTCTGTCCCTGGTCTATTGATCATCACTTAGTAACTCAGGTGGCAGAGCAGAATTCAGTTCCTAGGTTGAACAATGTCCCATGCAGGAGCATCTCCAGAGAAGCAGCTGGTAAGAGCTTTTGTCTCTGTGTTCTTTCAGAGATGAGCCTCACCCCATCCACACACTGGGAGGTGATCCACATGTGTAAGGAGGATAGCCATTCCTCTCCACCTCCACCATGTTAAGTCACTACCTGACTGGCCATTTTGCTGGAATGCTAGTGACATGGTGGAAACACATAAAATGTTCTCTAAGAAGAAGTTGGACTGAGCTGGGTAACATAGTGAGACTCTGTCTCAAGAAATCCAAAATACAAAATTTTCTGAGTACCGATATGATGTCTCAAGTGGAAAATTCCACACCATGAAACTTCAGTTCCTGCAGAAAATTATTTAAAATATTGTCTAAAATTAAGGGCTGGGATCCTAGGCTCAAGTGAGAGGACACTTGCCCATTTTATAAACATAAAATTTTTTTTTTATGTTTATAAAATACTTCTATAAACAGATTCTTGTCTTCTTGTTTTGATCATGTTCTCACACTGAGCCAAACAGTAGCAGCTGCTGTCACCAATGAGGCAGAAAGAGAAAACTGAAGATAGCTAATATCCCTATCTCCCTCATCTCCAAGGGCTGGCCTGGGAATAAGACAGAGCTCCCTCAGGTAACTTCAGCTGTAATGGAGAGTAAGGTAGATTCAGACTTGATCCAGAGACTGTCACTTCACATGAGAGGGAACAATGAGACTCCCCTGTCCTGGTGTAAGGGATCTGTTCTTAGGAAATGTGCTATATCTTGCTGGTGCTATGCAGTCACTAAACATTAACACTTCTCAACTGTAACGGGTGGATTTTATTACACATGAGTTATGGCTCGAGAAAGGTAGGGAACTGTTTCTTCTGTCTTTGGACTGGAAATTGTCCACGTTCCCTACCTCTCACCTTCTGGGAGCCTGGGGCAGCATCCCATCACTAGAATTCAGCTCATTCAGTCGCAGGTCACGTGTGTTCCTATGTTTGTTTGTGCTTCAGTTTCCTGGATTCTAAAATAAGGCCAGCTGCTCTGCCTTGCAGAAGTGTGAGGAGGGGACGATCAATGGCTGGAAAGCCCTTTGGAAACACAGGGGATTGTCCTTGGTAAATAAATAGCTCTATTCCTTAGCCAAGAGCACCAGCTACCAGACTGCACCTCTGCACACAGTGTTCGAACTGCTTCCAGTAAGTCACTACCAGCTGTGACCTCACTCTCCCAAATTAGTTAATGCTGAAGCATCACTTCATTTAGAAAAAGTTGGACTTTTACCATCTGTGAGGTGCTCTATACCACATGAGTGGCCAACTAAGGTTCAGGGAGCCAAATAAAACAAAGAACATTTGTCCCCACAAGCTTCAGTGCTGTGCCAACAGTTTAATTTCCCAAGTCTGGGGTTGTGCATAGCATTAAACCCAAATTAAACAATCTGAGGGTCTTTTTTTTTTTTTTTAAGCGTTTTGGCTTGTACTGGTCGTTCTTATGACTCTGGGCTGAAGTGGCTCATTGTAGACCAGTGAAGCCAATGAACTTGCATAGTCAACACCTGCTAAAAGCAACTATTTTTAAGTTAGTTTTCACCTTTCTAAAAGTATGGTGAACCAGTTTTAAAATTTTGTCCTTATGATTGTGGCTTAAGTTGAACAGAAGAGTTCCAGATCTCTGTGGGATGGAGAAGAACATTTCACTCTGTCTCTCCAAGGACTGGAGAGCTAGGACTTGGACAGACACACGTGGAGCCTGGGGAGAGCTGTGAGGCTCAACAGCAAGGCATTCTGGGAGGACCAGAGTTCCAGTGACTGTTGAGTGTGCTGAATTTTGCATTTGTTCTCTAGTCCTCAGTTTCAACTCAAGGCAACCTGAATCCCGGAAATAGAACATGGACAGAAGGCTCCAAGCAGCTTTCTGCTTCTAGGGAGAATGGAGACTCCTAATGTTTAGAGGATGGGGGAAAAGTCATTTGTTTTTCTAGAAAAGTCCAAGGTAAGGAAGGCGTGCCTGCAGCAACCGACTGAATGGCAGCGAGGCCTGCCAAACGCGGAGGGCAGTGACACTCTCTCCGCTGGGAGGCGCTGTGTCCTAATAGCGAGGAGCCAGCGCGCCAGGCCACTTCTCTCCCAGTCCTTGGCGCTCGGCAGTCAGAGTCACCGCACCAAAGAACCCGGTCTCTGAAGTCCTGGGATTTTGGCCAAAGGACTGAAAAGCAAAATGGGAGTCCAGAGAAATGGAGAGGAGAAAGGGGGAGGTGCAGGAAAATATATTTGAAGAAATCATGGCTAAAACTCCCCACATTTGGCAAAAGACATAAATCAAATAGTTTCAAGAAATTGAACAAACCTCAAATAGGATGAACCCAAAGGAGTCCATACCCAGTTTAAACTCAAGCAAGCTGTTGAAAGCTGAGAAAAACAAACAAAAAAACACTGAAAACAGCCAGACCTTCAAAACCTGGA